ATAAAATGAAATAACTTGAAACTTATCCTGGTTAAATATTTTTCTTTTTTTTTTCATATAACAACAGCTAGTATGAAATGAACTGGTGAGCTATAAAGCTTAATAAGTTATGCAATTTATATAAAATTAATTATCAAATTATAAAAAATAACATGATTGAATTAACTTTGAGATATTTGCAAAACAACATAAATCATCTTTTCATTCATTTGAAGTCTATATAGAATATCATTATTAGTCTTTAAAGATTTGACTAAAACTTCATAAAAATATTCAATAAAGCTCAGGTAAACCTGACATTATCGCAATTAAATAATATAGAAGTCTCTTTTGCCCCACATGCTATGCATGTATCATATCTCTGTGGTCCCTTTTGGTCCACTTACAATGCAGTGTCATACATAGGGTCCCTTTTGTCCAACATGCAATTGTAAATTGTACATCATTTTATTGCCATTCTTTTCTAATTTTTGATATTCAATGTATTTCATAACATTTTAATTTATACTTGACTTGCCATGTACAAAATTCCATAAGAATTTGTCTCTTACTATACTTACTAGGATGTGTTGGCCAATATTAAATTAATAATCTCTTTTCAAATTATTATCAACTTGAAAAATTTTAAAATAATCATCATAAATCTTATTTTAAATTTTAATGATACATATATGTAAGTGGTTATTGAAACAAAGAGAACATGGAATTATACTCAATTTATATTAAGCAAACATGGTTTATCTTATTTCCATTTGCAAGTCAACTATATCGATATATAGTTGCTTATTAATGCTTATTGATTGATGTGTTAGTGAAGAGAAGTGAAGAGAAGGAAGAGAGAGAAGCTCCACGAATTGAGGAAGAATTTGGAAGGGGATTTTCGGCTTGGAAGTGAAGAGAAGGCTGCATTCATTGTAAATGGAGAATGGTGGCCGGTCATCCTTGGATGACCGGAACACCAATTCCCTTGTTTCTACCATGCGTCCAACTTTGTTGGATTCAAAAGGTAGTTTTACATTCAATCGCAGCTTTTCTAGTTTTTTCAACTCTCCTCTAGTGATTAGAGTGGGAGGATTGATTTCTAAGAAGAAACCTTTGATGGTGAGTGGTAAAGGAAAAGAAGTTTTGGATGCTATGACAAGTAAGTCTTGCTGATCTTTGCCGGTTTTGATTCCTAGAGCCAATGATTTGGAGGCTTCAACCTCTGGTAGCATCGATCATAATTTGAATAATTCTAATGTGTGGATAAAAAAATCACACATTAAAATTAATTCATCTTTTATACATGAAGTAAAGATGTTAATGTGGTTAAACTTGATTTGGAGAAAGAAAAATCCAATGTTCATGTTCTTAGAAATTCATTGGTAGTAAAGATCCTATGCAAAAACTTGCCATTCACCAATTGTGCTTTTGAATTAAGGAGGCAGTGGGATAAATTTGGAGGATTCCATATTACTGCTCTTGGATTAGATTGGTTCCTTTGCTCTTTTCAATCTCAGGATGCAATAGGAGGAATTCTCAATGGAGGTCCATGGTATGTGGGAGGTTTTGTCATTGGATTAGACAAATGGACTCCCAATTTTTCTCCTTATTCCTTGGATGGAATTTCTTCTCCCATATGGGTTCGTCTTCCACACTTGCCATTACACTGCTGGGACGAAACCAACATTACGAGAATTATTTCGAGTATAGGGACTCCTTTATTATTGGACGGAAACATGTTTAGATGGGGAAGAAGGGAATTCGCTAGAGCTTGTGTTCGGGTAAAATTAAACTCTAAGCTTCCTAGTGGTATTTGGGTTGAAGGTAATCATGGCAAATTTTTTCAAAAATTTGAATTTGAGAATTTATCTTCTATTTGCTTCAAATGTGGAAAAATTGGACATAATGATGTAGTATGTCCAAATGGTTTTCAAAATTCAGATCTTATTAATAAGGAAGCTACCAAAGAACCTTTATTAGTTGAAGAGAGTTCTTATGGGCCTTGGATGCACGTCAATTTCAAATCCAAAAGAAATATTAAAAGTGTTAAGAGAGATTCACATTTAAACCATGGTGCAGATTTTCAAACTGTTCGCCGGTTCTATGGTGGTTCTAAATCAGATCGCCTCCCTTCGAAAACAGCTTTAAATTCGGTAGAAAATACTGCTGAAATCAATGGAAGAGATGAAGTGGGTGTTAGCATTAATTCAGATTTGTTGAGTGAGCCGGATATAGCTCATAATACAAATTTTGAATATATTAAATCTGGTTCGTTGGATGCTGAAATTACAAATACAGATGGACAAATAGCTGTTATTCCAACGTGTATGCCTAAAATTGCTGAGGATTTGAATTTTCAAACCACACAAGCGATGGAGGCTGTTATGAAGGAGTGTGAGAAGGAGAAAAATTCGGTTTTGACTCCTTCTAAGGCTGCAATTCCTTCTGCTAAGGAAGATTCTACCGAAACTCATAATAATAGTGCTGAAAAATCGGGATCTTAAAATTCAAAATTTGAAATCCCACCTAGCATAGAGACGGATAAGGCTGTTGAGGAAATTCAGTCGGTTTTATCCCCATCAATTCCAGCCGGTTTTAACTTTGTTATTCCAACGGATTCTCCTGAGATGGCTGAGAATTCGAATTTTCAAGCTCCTCACATGATGGAGGCTGTTATGGAGAAGTTTGAGAAAGAGCAGGTCACGGTTTTGACACCTTCTAAAGCTGATAATAGTTCAGGATTATCTGCTTATAATGATAAACTAAGAGATGGCTTTTCTAATTCCATTTCCCCTTCCTCTACTATCAGTTTGAAATTCAATAAAACTGATTTATTTAAAGGGAAAAAGAGTACTTCATTAGAGCTATTCGGTTATAAACCCAAGCTATTCAAAGAACTACAAGGGCTAGGACTAGTGAAAGATCAAAGTAGGAGAAGGATTGCTGATCACAAGGTGAAGAACGATTTGAAGAGTTCTTCACAGAAGATTTCAGTAATATGATACTCGTTTTTCTCATCTCTATTTTCAAAGCCGTTAGAGACATGAAGACGGGAATTCTAATCGAAGAATTTTCCATTTATTTTGCTTGGTATTACAGAATTTATTTTTGGAAAAGACTTCTAAAATACCTATCATTGGTTTTAATAGGTATTTTGAGAATGTCTTATCTATTTTGTAATTTTCTTTTGATTTTCCTTTATAGCTGTTTTTTTCTCTTGGCTTTTTTGTTTTTTAAACCTACTATATTTCTTTATGGAATCGTTACTGAATTCTATTCTTTAACCGGATGGGAACTCTGGGATACTAATCAACCTTCGGGTTGTTTCAAATATTTGGTATCCCCTGCATCTCAACGGTTTCAAAATAGGAAAGAGTGGGTTTCATATCGAACTATTAGGTTTAATGATAACAAAATTGCTTTCAATAAGGATCCTTTTCAACAAGGATCATTTAGTGTCTTATTTCCTAGTTTGTATTAGGTTGTTTTATTTCTTAATATTAACGCATCTTTGCATTTTCTCAAAAAAAAAAAAAAAAGATGTATATTCCATAATTGGAATTATCTTAACACAATTAACCTTTTAAATCAATCAATTGATATTGTATACATCAAGAATTTCTAATTTTTTTTTTAATTTATAATTGCATATTTTACTTCTTTGACAAACTGACTCTTCCAATTCTACACCATGAAACCTTTTTCTTTGATAAACTATCTCAAATCCTTCTTTCTGCATATATCTGATGAATCGTAAATTTAAAATTGGTTTAAAGTTCTTTAGAAAATTTACTGAATTTAGGGAATATAAAAGGTAACGACAAACATTATAATTTCTTACATCCTTTCTTCTCCTAATACTTTCCTCTTATTCTTCCTTTATTGTTTCGTCAAAGCAAATGTTCACTCTCATCAATTGAATTTTCCCACAGTCACTGTTCTTTCAATTCCTTTTCACTTCACTGTGTCGATTTCTTCTATATGCACTGTTCCAATTATGCTACATAAATTCCTGCACTATGCCGAAATCCATAGCAATACATTGTGCCGAGCTCTGCTACAGGAATTTCTGCACTATACTGAATTCTTCTACAGTCCCGGGGGCACTGTGCCGAACTCCGTTTTGCCTGCATTGTGCCGAACAGTCTATAGTGGTTGCTTGCATGAATTCCAAACAAATGTAAGGATAGAGGAGTGTACCCCACGCTATAACTGCTCTCTCCTTATACATCCCAAAGGAAGCTTCTATTCAGAACATTAATTTCCATTTAATATTTTGCTTAGAATTTCTGTTAATATTTATTTAATAGTACTTTACTGTTAAGTAAAAATTAAATTATTTTACTAAGATTTCTAATTAAAAAGGTTTTAATTAAACTTAGTTTTAAAAGAAATAATTTGAATTTCTATTACCTGAAATTTCTGGTTATTACAATAAACGAAATATTAGTTATGCTTTCAAGAGATGAGATTCAATGGGTTCTTATTATACTCGGTGAGGAAGTAGAATCACACGGTAAATATAGAAGAAATCGGCATAGTGAAGTGAAAGATCTTGTCTGAACCTTTTCATAACTCTGAATGAAACATGTTTACTATTTGTCGTTTCATTGATGTGGGATACAATTGAAATCACCGTTGATTGCTATGGCATATTATTGTAGTTGGAATGACAGAGGAGTCACTATAAAGAAAGCCCAAAGCTCATCTTTATCCTAATCATTGTTAGAAGCAAAAGCCGCAATGAGAAGGGTGGTAGCTATGGAGGCACTATGCAGAATGTAGAGGCTAAGCTGATCATTATTGATAACAAGATTGGTAGTTGTAAGAGCTGAGGAGTTCCATTTGAGCAAGATGTGGCCTCCTCTGTTCGGGGAATTTATTAGTGTGATTGTTTTTTACCTTTTTATGTATTTTTTATTATTTTAGATAATATTCTCTTAGAAAACTTTATCTTAGTTTTAAGCCATTATAGTTATTGATATTTACTTAATTGACTGTACTAATTGATCTTATAGGTGCTCATCATGGATAAGCTTACAACCAAAATCATGTCCTGTGCTTGTAAAATGGCCGATATCACTGAGGAAGGGGTATCATGTAAGTTAGCTTATTTTTGCATTTATTCTGTTTTTCGTTAATGTTAAGATAATGTCGATTTGCCGGTTTTATTTGTCACTTCTCGGTTGACTGAAGTACCTTTTGGCTTTTAATTATAAATTTAACAGAGTTTTTTATGCTCGTTGAACTTCAACACTCAATCCATCTTTTCCTTATGCACATGTTTAGGTGTTTCTCTATTTTAAATTCTCTAGAAATGAATTATATTATGCTTTACCTTCCATAATGGTTTTCATAGCTAAAACTCCTAATAAGTTTCTGGACAAGTCATGAGTACCTAGAGCTTTTCTTTCATTTAAATGAAGAAAATTATTTTTCACATAGACTAATTCTGTTATTTTCCTTTTTCTTTGTAGTGGTGGAAGACATTAACAAACGAAGGCAGCCAATGTTGTCAATGGATGCTATATATTTTGTACAACCTACCAAAGAAAAGTAACATTCCATCTAAATATTGTTTCATAGTTCCTGATTTGATTATTCTGTTATGGTGGCCCTGTTTTTTTGGTTGACTTTACCATGCATCAAACAATTATTTGCATTGACTGGAATGTTGATGCTTTTCTTATTTTCCAGTTCTTATTGATTAAACTTTACTCCAGTAAATGATAACTGAACTGATAGGATGATGAGAAAAAAAAAAAGAAGATTGAATTCTAGCCATTTCAGTGACTTAGCCAACTTTGACATTAATGATTTTACTCATCTAGCTGTTCCTAAGGCCTTAAATGCCCAGCTTTGACCCGCAAAGTGAATCGCAGATGGCTAAACCGGTTGCTTTTAAATTTAGAAAAGAAAAGCAAAGTTTGTTCCCTCTGTGAACACTACACTAGGAGTATTTGCAATAATTACTATGTTATCTCTGAAGCAGAAGAAGTCGAGTTTGTTCATCATCTGAAGCAGAGAAGAAAACTAACACATTATGTATGGAAAGTTTAATTAATTATCATAGCTGAAAGAAAATAATGGAATATGAAAAATAGAAGGTTAATTCATGTGGGTATGCATATACTGACTCACTGAATGCATTTTTCTTATCTGATCCTTATATGAGGCTTTCTATATGAGACACACTAGCCATGTATGATTATTTCAATTTTTTTTAAAGTGTGGCTTATTTGAGTAAATCATTCAATTTTTATAGAAAAAGACATTATGTTATAGTTAATGTTTTTATTTAGATTTTTTTAATTGGTTGAAATCTTAATTTTGTCCTAATAACCTACCGTATAATATATGTCCAAGCTACGTCCTTGCAAAAGCAAGTGAACAACCCTAGAAAAAAACAAGCATTTCTAATGCACACTCAACAAATGAGCAAACATGTGTGTGTATGTATAAATCAACCAATGCAGGAAAGTAAAGTAATGTTCAATTAGCACAATTATAATTGATAGCTGAGTTTCGTGCCTTATACAACCCAGTTAAATTTTTACAGACTAAACCTGTGGGGTCTTCAAGCTTTAAATTTTAGATGCATCTAGGGCTTCACCTAGGAGGGTTCATCCTTTTAATTCATCTCTCTTGTAACTGCATCCCACATATTTACAATACTTTCTAAGTCTATTAAATACATTTTGAAAAGTGAAAAGACTCAAATCTACAAAACAGGAAGAGATTAGGAAGTGGTTTATTTGAAAGAAGAAGACATCCCAAAATTGCTTGGCACTTGAGATGTCAAGCCTTATCTCTATCCTATTGGCCATGCCTCCTTAGGGGGGTTTGAAGCAGTAGTTGTAAGCAAGCATTTTATAATTTTATAATTTATTTTTACCCCCTCTTAGACATGGTCACAGGTCACCTATAGAAAAGAATATAATTTGATGGAAGCATAGATCACCAATTGATTTTGGATCAATAGATGCGGAAGATAATTTGCAACTTTGGGGTTATAAACTATATGAGTTATTATTGAATTTTGTAATAAATGATGAAAGCTTTGTTTACTAAAATTGGGTAGAGAAAACATAAATGGTGTTAACCTGCCGTATAAAACAAAAAAAAATATATTAAAATCCACGTACCTGTCCGGCGCCGAATTACCTTACTCTCGCACGTCGAAGGCATGGCTCTCACAATCAGCTTGTGCCGCTAAAAGGAGAGAGGAGACAAGGCATTCGTTTTCTTCCCCACGATCCCTCTCTCTCTCGCGGCTCTCCTCTCCCGAGCTCTCTCTCTCTCGCTCTTTCTCCTCCCAGTTGGATCAGAAGCCGACATTTCGATCGGAAGCAAGAGTGGGGAGCTCGCCGAAAGTGAAGGCAACCTTCTCCCTTTCACGCGGCTTCTCCGGCGCCTCCATTGCTGTTCGACTTCGTTGCTTCGACGACTTTCCCTTCCAATTGATCGGAAGTTACGACACTTTGATCGGGACAAGAACGGGAGACTCGCCGGCTGTGATCGTAACTTTCTCCCTTTCGTTAGCTTCTCCGGCTCCCTCTTCGCTGTTCGACTTTGCTCATTCAGCGGCATTCCCTTCCTGTTGGAGCGGAAGTTACTACATTTTAATCGGAAGCAGCAATCGGGAGCTCGCTTGCTTGAAGGTAACTTTCTACTTCAGTCGCTCCTCCGACTCCTCCTTGGCTGTTCGACTTTGCTCCATCTACGACTTTCCCTTTCTGCGGGATCGGAAGTTGGACATTTTAATCGGAAGCAAGAGCGTGAGCTTGCTGGCCGTGACTTCCTCCCTTGCGTATGCTTCCACGGCCAAATCCCGTTAACCCGCCGGATTAAGGGATTTGAGAAAAAAATTTAATATAATTAATTTTAATTAATTTAATTATTATTT